AACCTTCCCAGCCCCGGTTTGGTCATTCTCTAATCTCATTGTTACCACCACATTGAGAGCCACCAGGCATCCTTATCATCCATACTGAGAAAATGAGGACACTCAGTCCGTTGGTTTAGTACTTTGAATCAGGTTGCATTGGTATGGAAATGATCAAGTTGGGATGGGACCCCTATTTTGAATCTAAAGCCCTAGGTCCTAACCACTGTGATCTATAGCCTCTCTGTTAAAACAAGAATATTTTATTCTTGCACAATTTTTGAGGCCAAGGAATCAGTAGGGCTCGAGTTCCTTCAAAGACTCTAGTGGGAGAATCCATTCTTTGTCTCCTCTGACTTCTAGATGCCTCTATCTTCCTTGGCTTATGGCTCCATCATTCCACCTATCTCCATTTTTTTTTGGGGGGTCCGGTCGTGGGGCCTGAATTCTGGGCCTGGGCACTATCCCTCAGCTATTCAGCTCAAGGCTAGGCGCTCTACCACTTGAGCCACAGTGCCACTTCTGGCTTTTTTCTTTTTGCTTATGTGGTGCTGAGGAATCGAACCCAGGGCCTCAGGCATGCAAGACAAGCGCTCTACCACTGAGCCACCTTCCCAGCCCACCTATCTCCATTTTTACGTCAGTGTCTCCCTTGTGTACATTTTGTAAGGACACATGTCATTGGATGGAGGATCCATGTAGGTAATCAAGATAATCTTGGCTCAAGATTCCTAACCTGCCAATTTCCCTTTCCTGAATGAGGCAGCACAGGTTCAGGGATGCCAGTGTGCATAAAGGCACCTTTATGCTCACTATACCACATGGGAAAAGGTGGAAGCTGACCTGCACTGTCACATGGACTCATCACTGGCTGGGTCACTAGGAGTGACAGAGAAGCCAGGACCCACTTTCTACAAGATGGCTCTCAGTGTGGAGGTAGCACATCTTAGAGGCCTCAGCTCAGTCAAGGCTACTCCAGGGACTCACAGGAAGCTTAGGACTGTGTCTTAAACTTGAGGAACAACTTCACAATGGTGCCATAGTCTGGTTGGCTATGTTTAGGTACAGTGATTGCAATAGTTTCTGGTTTGTCTTGAATGAATAACTGGCAGAACATAATTTACTTTCTCCTAGAAGGTTTGAGGGTATGGTTTTTGCAACATTGGAGGCAGAAAGCTCCCTATTCACTGTAAAAATCTAGCCTGTGTCTTCTCAGACCTAGTCCTCAGCTTCAGCTCAGTGTCACATCCTGGAAGTAGGAAGGGACACCTTCCTCTGTAGGGGAATGAGGGTAGCAATGAGGGGCCATGTTTCTGGGGCTGTGCTTCAGAGTCTCTGTATACCAATCTCAAATATGTGCAAGCTGGGCATGGTAGCTCATGCCTGTAAAGGTGACTAGCTACTTGAGGGACTGAGATTGGGAGGATCCTGGTTTGTCACCAGTCTGAGGGAGAAAGTTCTTAAGAACTCGTCTCAACCAATAGCTGGGCATGGTGGCGTATACCTGTGATCCCAGCTATAGTGGGAGGTATAAAACACTGGAGGATCATGTTCCAGGCTGGCCAGGGTAGAAAACAAGATCTATCTCCAAAACAGCCAGAACAAAAAGGGCTGGGGTTGTGGCTCAGGTGGCTGAGTGCCTGACTAGCAAGCATGAAGTCCCCAAGTTCAAATTTCAATACTGAAAAAAAACAGAAAAAAAAAGTGTGCCATACAAATGTCCTCTGGCTTATAAGTGACCCTAATCTAAGAGGTAAAGACTTAGCTGGACATGTTTTGAGAAGACATAGCTGAGTTGTTTTCAAGGAGAGGCAAATAACATTGGCCAGGCAGTGAGAGTTGGAAGCTAGCACCCACAGCATGCTGGGATAGGGTGTACTTCCCAGGAAGACCCAAAGTGTGTTTGTGCAAACATGTGTGTTTGCACACATGCACCAGAGGGGAAGGAATGAGAGTAGGCTACAGGTATAAAATTTTAGGTCTAAAAGGCATATTTATGCCATATGACTGTGCCTTTTTTTCTAGCTCAAATTAACCAGAGTAGAAGAAACGACATGAATCTCTAATCTGGCCCAATCAATTCTCTCTCAAGCATCTGAGCATAGTAACGTAAAACCACAGTTTATCTCTGGGATGTTGGAAGTACCTGCACTGACCTGGGCTGCCATTTGGAGGCCATCTATATCGATCTGCCAAACATATATAAAGCAGATGCAGGTAGCAGCCAGCCCCAAGTGCTCTGGGATTCCACAAGATATCCTGCCCTAACACCCCTTTCACTCAATACCAGCTTCTTCAGAGGTTGGCTTATTAGAACCAATCTCATGTCAGACATACTGGTGTGATTTGGGTAAAAAGTATCCTGCAAAAGGCTGGTTGCTGCAGTCTTGGTCCACAGTGTAATGTTAAGGGGTGGGTTTTGGGATTGGATCACAAGGACTCTGACTTCTTCACTGAATGAATCCATCAATGGTATTTGTGGGAGGTGGTAGAAACCAGAAAGTGGAGCTTAATTGGAGGAAACAGGTCACCAGGAGGTACGCCTTTGAAGGATATGCCATGTCCACAGCCCCTTCCCTTTCTCTGCTTCCTGCCACCATGAAGTTAGCAGCTCTGCTCTGCCATGTGTTCTGCACTATGACGCTCTACTTTATTACAAGCCTCAGAGCAATGGCGCCAGCTGATCCTGGATGGAAACCTCTGAAATGCCAAGACAAAATAAATCCTTTCTCTTTCACATTGATTTCCTCAGGTCTTTGTCAGATTGACAAAAAACTGACACAAGGAACAGACCTTTCCTTTGTCGTTTTGGTGATTCATATAAGACTTGTACATTGAAGGGCTCCCTAAAGATCACAGAAACAAATCTCATGGCTCTCCCCACTCATTTACTTACACAGAGATAGTGGGAAGGAAAGACAACCAAATCACTTTCCCAGGAAACAAGATTCAGCGTAACTGAGGGTAGTTATTAGGACCAATCCACTGGTCATCTATTGTGCCCCAGCTGCTCCTCCTGCCCCACTCCCCTGACTTACCATCTGCAGGGCTGAGGCCCCTGGCTGCAGAGATCATGGAGAGCGTGGGGCTGCTGTGCATGGACCGGAGGTAGTGCTCCATGTGGGGGTTCACATATGGGTGGGGGGCACTGAAGGGAGACTCCCCAGGGCCAGCAGGGTGCGGGGAAAGCCGGATCAAGGAGATATCAGAGATGATGGGGCTGCCGCTCAGGGTGGGAGGCCTAGAGAGATAAAACACAATATTCTCAGAACAAGGGTGGATGTGGAAGCTAATGCTTGTCATCGCAACTACTTGGAAGGTGGAGGTCAGAAGGATCATGGGTCAAGGTCAGCCTAAGAAAAGTCCAAGAGACCCCATCTCAGCCAATATACCTATCATCCCACCTACAAGAGAAAAATAAATAACATGACTTTAGTACAGACTAGTCTTGGGGGAAAAATGAGATTTGAAAAAATAAAAGCAGTGAGGCATATAGGTGGCTCATACCTGTAATCCTAGCTAGTCAGGAAGCTGAGATCTGAGGATCAAGGTTTTAAGCCAGCCCAGGCAGGAAGACCCATAAAACTCTCTTTTTTTTTTTTGGGGTCCGGTAGTGGGGCCTGGACTCTGGGCCTGGGTGCTGTCCCTCAGCTCTTCAGCTCAAGGCTAGCGCTCTACCACTTGAGCCACAGCGCCACTTCCGGCTTTTTTCTCTTTTTGCTTATGTGGTGCTGAGGAATTGAACCCAGGGCCTCAGGCATGCAAGGCAAGCGCCTACCACTGAGCCAGCCCAGACCCATAAAACTCTTGTGTACAATTACAAACCAAAAATCCAGAAGTGAAGGTGTGACTCAAGTGGTAGAGTGCTAGTCTTGAACAAAAAAGCTCAGAGATGGCATCCAGGTCCTGAGTTCAAGCCCCAGGATGGATGCCTGCATGTGTGTGTGCACACACACACATGCACGCACGTGTGCGCACATATATATATACACACACAAACACACAGCGGAAAGGACTTGGGGTGGATTCAAGTGGTAGAGTGTCTGCCTATTAAGCCCTGAGCTTAAACTCCAATACTGCCATGAAAACCAAACAAATAAACAAATAAGAAAAGAGATTCACAGGAAACAGGAATCCTGCTGGAAACCTAAGCACCACATGAGCAGAAACATCTGCATTTTCATTTTATACACTGGCATTCTGTGATCACTTCCAAATTATAGTCAAATCCTTTCAGCACTAGCCAGTGAATAGAGGCTAAACACTGTGTACTGCTACAGCTTCCCATTACCTAAAATTCCTGTGAATCTGAACTCTGCATGCTTGCCTGGAATCCTGGCTCAGCTGACCATGTGTGTCCAACCCACAGCTTTGCTTCCCCATTGGCTACATAGGCTAGACACATTCATGCTTGAAATGTATGGAACACAGAACATGAAAATACTAATACCAAGGGAAAGATGCAAAGAACTCTTACTCCTAACAGAATATGAGAAAACGGAGGGGATCAAGAGATGCCTGCAAAGGGAGAGACATCTTGCAAGGAAGGAGGTTTTGCCTCCAGTTGAATGGTCTCTGGTGGGGCACACTGGGCTGCAGAATGAGCAGTGAAGGAAAAGATCAATATTCAAGATGATATTGGAAATTGATGAGCTGTAACTAATATTCTGAGCATCATTCGAGGTCTCCTTGCATGTTGGCTTCTCAAGCTAACAGAGCCTGAGGCGTCATGCCCACCAACAGTCAGGTCTGTTTGCAGCTTGGTTCCTGTGGCCTGGGCTGGCTGTGGTCAATCTCTAGATCCCATAGTCTGCCATTCAGGCATGATGAAGGGGCTTTTCCCCTCAGGCCAACTTACCTGAGGATTCAAGCAGCTACCGTGTATCTCAAGATCATCTACTGTAAAACTTGTCCTAAAACACAAGCCAATCTTTTAGGGCAAACAACTTCTGACTCAAAACAAATTCACTGTGAACCATAGTAAAACCAAGATCTCATCTTCAATTGTCCAGAAAACACAGACCCTCCATGATTTGACATAGCATGAAGAAAAATAAGTGTGAGACTCAGGCAATTGGGGATTTGGATCCCAAATGAATCAAGTGATTTAACCTCTCCAAACTTTGGCTTTCCTCAGCTGTAAAATGGAGGCAACAATAAATGTCCATTTCATACGGTAGATTCAAGGAAGAACTCAAACAGAATTCCTTAGAAAGGTAAATATTAGTTCAACAAAATAAACCCTTGGAATTAGGTAAAAGGGGTGGAGTGGTATCAAGGGGAGGGGATAGACATGAAGGAACTCAGTGGGAGGAATTATCTGAGTCAGAAATGTAATGCATAAAAATATGCTTTAAAAATTCAATGCAGGGGCTGGGAAGGTGGCTCAGTGGTAGAGTGCTTGCCTTGCATGCCTGAGGCCCTGGGGTTTGAGTCCTTAGCACCACATAAGCAGAAAAGGCCAGAAGTGGTGCTGTGGCTCAGGTGGTAGAGCACTAACCTTGAGCTGAAGAGCTGAGGGGCAGCACCCAGGCCCAGAGTTCAGACCCTATGACTGACCAAAAAAAAAAAATTCAATGCATATCTTAGAACATAAGTGAGGGAAGGGTTGAATTGGGAGTGATGAGAGAATACTGAAAGGGATGACATTGATCAAGATGTACTATATTCATAAACTGCTTTTTTGAATAGCAACTCCTTAAATAGCAACTACTTAAAGATAATATATATGTGTACATAATAAACAAATCCCTAAGTATGGAAGTCCTAAGATTGTGTCTGAGCCAGAGCAGGTGGTCCTTAAGTGAGAGTTGTGATTCACATAGCCATCATGCCCTGAGGACCATTGATTTTCATGTAGGGGCAATATGTGTGGAAGGCACTGTTAGAGCTGGTCATTTTATGAATGGGGACACTTTATAGATGGATGGAGTGGTTGGACTTGTGGTTAAGCAAGTAGCGATGATTAGGGATTATGTTCAATGCATGAAAAAATAACCTCAAAGCACAGCAAAAGCCACTACCCAAACAGGTGATAGCTAGAGGATTTTACGTCTGGATGTGATCAATGTTGTACATGCAGGTACTGGTAAGGTCTGGGAGTGGTACTTAGTGGTATCACTCCTAGTTCTGCAGATGTGTGTGCCCTAGGCATGTAGAAGCCAATCTCTGGCTATCTGTAGGCACCTGTGCTTTTTTCCCACTCTTAACTCTTGCTCTCTCTTTCTCCCTGTACCTCCCCCAGTCCCTTGGGATAGAGTTGTAGGTGCCACCTGCCATCCCCAGCCCAGCTGCCCCTGACCCAGTCACTATCTTCAGTGACTACAGGCTACTGTGTCCTAAATCTTGGCTGGCATCCTACAGGCTCTGGGAATCAGCCTTGCTTGGAATGACCTGGGAAAGATGGAGAGGACAAGAGGCTCCTCACTGTCCTCCTGGATAAGACAGCACCTATACTGCACAGTCCCCAGAGTGTGCATCCTTCAGCCCTAGAACTGTCTCCAGATCCCCCTGGGGTGATGTTTGCATGGGAGCATCTCTTCACAAAGCACCTGAACATAGCAGAAATGTGAATGTCCATCGTGCCACCATCACAGGCCAGAGGTGCAAATGCACGAGGACTTGGATCTATAAAGGGATTGTGTCCCCATGTGGAACAGCTGGAGGAGCAGGGGCCTGCTGGAGCTATCTTGTGCCTTGGACCACAATTCCTGGTTTACTGGCAGGAAGAACAGGATGCTTGGAGGGGCCACTGCCTTAGCCCCAAACTGATTCACTAGGAGATGGGGAAGAAATCAGTCAGGCTCTGACAACAGGTTTAATTAAGGTGGTGGGGAAAAGGTACCAGGGAAGGTTGCCCATGCTGGGCCTGGAAGGGGTGCGGCCTGGGCTGCAGGGCTGTCCAGCACAGGCAGACCTTAAGGCTCTGAGCATGTGCAGAGAAGGACTGGATTGACGAGGCCATTCTTGAGGACTCAGGGCCTGGATGCAATGAGATAGGGCCCTGTACTTGGACTTGCCCCTGTCTTGAACCCTGGTTCTCTCACTAACCCTGGTACTTCCCACTTAGGTGGGCAGCCTCACCTAGGGGGCACCCTCTCTGGTGCTTCACCAGGATAGTACAAAGATACCAGTGTGGGGCACATGGTAGGTGGCTCCGTTCCCCTTCTCTCCTTGGCCCACCTCTTCCTGAAAGCAGAGGAAGGCAGAATACAGAGAATTTGCTGTCCTAGTCACACTATACCTGACATAAAAGGCGCATTGGCCAACATAGCCAGGGATGACTGTTCAGACACCTCCCCCAGGAAGCATTCCTATCTGTTCCTGCAGTGTAAGATAATTTAAATTAATCATGCCCGATCTGACATCTGGAAATAAGGCTGACTGCATATCAACATCAAGGAACCATATGAATCTATTTCTTTTTTTGAATCTAGGTAAAAACCACACAAAGAAGGTACGTCATGACCATTCTGTAGGTGATGCACACACCTTGGCCTCTCAACCAGGGTCACTAAGTTAGTAAGTAGAAGAGTCACAACTAACCAGGTAGTTCTAGGCAAATGGATGCTTTTGATGACTATGGTTCCTCATGACCTGGGCTCAAGACAGGAGGAGGATCAGGGAAGAGCAATGCTGAGACCAGGACAACTTCCAACTTACCCCATCCTAGTCCCATATACTACCCCATAATCTTTGATGAGGGCACTGAGTCTCTTCTGCCACACTGTGCTGTGAATGACTGATAAAGGACTGGCAAAAATGTTCTAAGAGATCATCGTGTGTGTGTGTGTGTGTGTGTGTGTGTGTGTGTGTGCGCGCGCGCACACGCACGCGCGTGCCCATCCTAAGGCTTGAACTCGGGGCCTAAATGCTGTCCCTAAGCTTTCTTGCTCAAGGCTAGGGTGCTACCACTTAGCCACAGCTCCACTTCTGCCTTTTTGGATGCTTAATTGGAGATAAGAGTCTCACAAACTTTCCTGTCTGAAATCCTCATATCTCAGCCTCCTGAGTAGCTAGGATTACAGGCCTGAGCCACAGGCATCCAGCATGATTCATCATTTTGACAAAGCAAACACAGCCAATGGAATGGATTTTAAATGATCAAATCCCAAACCTTATAACAGTTTTTGTGGGACTATGGTGCTTTCTGGAAGCCCTGAAACTGCAGTGACATCTCCCGCCCCTAAAAGCTCAGGGCATTGGGAAACTTGAGCTTTACTTTCTTTGGTGCTTGGTCAC